AAAATATACAAGTGAAACACTTCAGAATGAAATAATTGAATCCTGTAATAAAATTATTTTAAATAAAATCGTAACAAACATAAATGCCCAAAGATGTTTCATAATACTTTCTGAAANACAAACATAAATGCCCAAAGATGTTTCAAAATACTTGCTGATGAAACGGCCGACATTGGTGGAAGCGAACAAGTAACTTTGTGTGTTCGATATTTAGATGTTGAAAATATGATTATCAAGGAAGAATTCTTCAGTTTGTGCCTACAACAGATACTACTGGAAAAGGTTTATATATTATTATTCAAAGTTTACATTCATTTGGTGTAGAAACAAAATACCTTAGAGGACAGTGTTACGATGGATGTGCTTCTATGTCTGGTCAATTTAACGGAGCTCAATCTCTTATTTACCAAAGTTATCTNACGGAGCTCAATCTCTTATTCACCAAAGTTATCCGCTTGCGACGTTTGTTCATTGTGCTGTTCATGTTTTAAACCTTGCTATTTCTTATTCATCTTCTATACAAGAAACACGAAATTGATTAGGAACCACATCTAAAGTTAGAGATTTTTTCATATACCCAAAGCGAAAAGATGTGTTGAAAAATCAAATTGAAGAAAGTCAGAAATGTATAACTAAAAAATCATTANTCAAATCGAAGAAAGTCAAAAATGTATAACTAAAAAATCATTAAAACAATTATGTGCGACTAAATGAGTTGAACGTTTTTATGCTGTCAATGATTTTCTTGAGCTTTTTGTGTACCTAATTGAATCGTTATTTATAATTTCGAAGTGGAATGACACTGAAACATCATCAAAAGCAAGTAATTTACGAACATCAATACTGAAAGGAGATTTTATTATTTGTTTACTTATTATAAATAAAGTATTTAGTTATGAGTTACTTTGTTTAAAACAACTTCAAAGAAATTAGCAGGTACACAGCATTGTTATTATCAATGGTAGTAAGGCACATTGTTGTAGTTTATGAATACACTAAATGACAATACAGAAAGTATATCTATGATAGTTGACATTGATATCATATAAACCATTTAGCTACCTGTATTTGTAATCATATCATCATGTGTATTATACATGTATATTAACTCAAAAATTTGAAACTTTAAATGTTTATATCTAATAAACTAATAAAGTTATATTAAAAATTCAAATGCCATTTACTATTTAATTAAAAATCCAAACATTTTATTATATTCAAAATATGTGTTCCCATTTAAAAGACAAAAAGACAAAGTTGACACCCTTACAAGGCATAAGGGATGAACATAAAAAGTTTTAAATAGTTAATAATTTAAGAATAATGTGTAACTAAAGAAAACCAAAAATAATGTTTAAATTATATTTATTCTACAAGTAAATGAGTGGGTTATGATAAAAAAATCAGTCTGTATACTGTAATATAGTTTATCATTTGTAAAGCTGAAAGTAAAACATTTTTGTAATGTTTCGTTTAATTGTAATTTCCTGATCTATTATTACTAGACCAGGAATTAAATATTTATAAATATTTTTGAAAACGATAGTATTATTAATTTTGCAAAAAGAAGAAAAACAAAATATTTTAGTATATAAGACGAAATGGAATGAATCGTAGAAGAGAGAGGACCTCAGGAGCACCGAAGGTAATCTCTTTTCGCGCGGTACGTTTATGACATTTAGTTTTCATTTTGTGTATTGTTTTATTGTGTTTTTAGTGTATATTTATTTTGTATGTTTTGCATTGTTTAATTATATCTATAATAAATACATTTGAGTTATTATTAAACTTTTATTACTTTAAGTTAAGACACTAGGGTTGTTTCTTTTAAGAGGACGCCATACAGAGAATGAAAAACGGGTTTAAACATGTTTTGCGCGGGACTACTTCATTTGATCTGTATTAATGCTAGAGTTTCAAATTTTTTACCAAATTATAGAGGACAAAATTATCTGTGATCTAGCGTTTTTATTTTTTTGTTAACATAATTTCTAGTAATTTATATTTACTATTAAACATTCCTATTTTTTTGGTTTTTTAAATCTTTAATAAATAGCTTCAGAGTTGCGTTATCAAAATTATAAAAACGCTAGATCACAGATAATTTTCTCCTTTATAATTTGGTAAAAAATTCAAATTTCAAATTATTTGTGAATTCTTAAAATAGCAATTAGAAAAATAGTAAATTTATTTACGTCAGTAAACATTTACATAATTTTCGTTTGTGAGGTTCATTAAAAGTTGGACACCACCCGAGAAATCATTCAAAATACGCCACTGGCGTAGCACAGTACTCGCTGCTATTTTATCTAACAATTTCTTATCATCATCACCTTAGCTTCTATCCCAACAATTATGGTGGACTTTACCTAATGACCTAATACGATTTTTACACTGACTGTCGACCTAACACAACATCATTATGGCTAAGAAAATCAGTAAGGAAGCTAAGTATTTGTCTCTGTTAAAGTTCTTGTATGATCTACAATCCCATTCGGAAACACAGCAAACAGCGTTATGGCGGCGACTGAACGATCCAATGCGCGATGTATTACTGCGAGTATTTTCAAAAATCGTAAATTGTTAAATGATGTTGATGCTCAAACTGTTGTAAAAGTGAAAAAAAATACATCAGAAACTGATATAGATCAAGTTTAGTTTTTATTTTAACAAATTATGGATTTTTAGTAGCGGCTAGTTTTTCGAGTAATAATTAAAAAATTTTAAATATGTACCTATTTCTTCAGTGGATGTGGAGCAAAGCATTTCAGTGTACAAAAATGTTTAAGCGAATAATAGGCGCTTGTTTACATTTATAAATTTAACAAAACCTTTGTTAATTGTTTTCAATTATAAATGTATATTACTGTTTTCCAGTTAGTTTTTTTTTTATGTATAATTGTACAGTTATTGTAATATAATAATTTAGTATTATTAAAAAAATTAAGTACACGAAAATGTTTTTTTATTTACATTAATTAATAATAAATAAAAAAAAACGAAGGGCATATTTTAATATTCTTAGCGCATATAATAGTGTTTATAATAGCATGAGTGAGTGCATACAGGCACGTAGACATGGGTGGTCTTGGCCCCCCTTAAATTTAATGTGGCCCAGAGCCGGCCCCCCCAAATTTAAAATTCAATTATTTTTACGAATTATCAAAAACGTGCTAGGCCTTATATACATTGAAATTATTATTAATTTGTGTGTACTATTGAGTAATACAGTTATTATTATGACTGTATTTTCATTTTTATATTCATAGAAAACGTTATTTGAAAAAGATAACGTTCTAGACGTAATAATAAATGGAATAGCATTTACTCCAAACGTGATGTAGGTAAATTTTTTTTAACTCTGGTCTAACAAACTACCAAGTATCTGCATTGATTATAATCTAGTTGATTACAAAATTCGATAGAGTATACTCTATGAAAAATTTTTTGATAAATCTTATCTTTAATTTGTTTCTTTTTTTATAATTTAGTAGTTACAATAGGTAATTTATTTGTTTTTGTTAATTTGTTATTTGTGCTTTAAATAATAGTAATTAAAATATGACTAAAAAAAGGCAGGAATTGTTTTTAATTTAAAATAAAATAAATTTTACATTGTTTATAATTTATATTTATTTTAAAATTTTTTATAACTTAATTGTTATTAGTATTTAGGAATAAATTATTTTTTCTTAATAGCTTAAAAGTTAAAAATAAAAGTTGAAAAATTAAATCAGCTTATGTTCACATCATTATTTTATTAGCTTCGATGCAAAGCTGAGAAGGTATTATTTTTACTATGATGTGTTTTTTTTTTGTGTCTGTTACCACTTTTTCTCAGCTCTCACTGAACCCATTTCTTTCAGTAATACGTCAAAAGATCACAAATCGTATCTAGTCGAAGACATTACCCTCAAAAATTGCCATAACTTTTTATATAGATATATGATATCGTTACTTTTCATTTTATATATTTTTTTTTATAAATCTGATCACCCTTTACCTGCCCACGAGGGGATTTAAAATGACAACTTTTTCACAAAAAATTAACTTTTTTCACTTAAATTTTTAAAATGTTCCTGAAAGTCTGACACTTTTATCTATATCTTAAATTAAAGCTAACGTAATGTACTATTTTATTTAAAAAAATTTCGGAGTTAATTTTGTCTTCACGGTGAAAATGGCTACCGAACGCTATTTTTGTGTAAAAATTCTCGATTTTGTATTTTACATTTTTAACTTTATAATGCTATAACTTTTTGAAAAATGTATGGATCAGCACAATTTTTTTATGAGAAATAATATTTTTTAATAATCTCTTTTTCATTCGACATACTTTATCTTAATCAGGATATTAATAAGGAAATAGCAGATCATGTAACTTTTGGAATAATCCACCAATTTTTTAAAAATAAACACAAATTTTGAACTTGTAAGATTCATAGAATGGGATACTCTCTAAGGAGGAGTGGAGGGACCCCCCACAAGCTTTTCATGGTAAACAAATTATGGAAAATGATACAAGGGCCCAAAATTGTTGGCCCCTCCAATAAACATTTTCTGGCTACGTGCCTGAGTGCATATTTCGATAGATTTTAATACATTAACTTCTGGGCCTACTTAAAAGATTAAATCACTGCCAACTCTAATAAAATTGATTCGGTAAACTTTATTACTTATTTGAATTCACTCGACTCAGAGTTTAATTAAACCTTAACTTTAACGAGTAAATTTCAAAATCGATGAGTAATTTTAAAATAATTAAAGAAAATAAAGGCATATGATAAAATTCTCATTCTCATTAAGTCATATTAGTCATTTATTAATGCGTAAACATTAATTTACCAAGATAATTTTCTTAAGCTGGTTAATGTTTCACTTAAAAAATTGAAATATTTTTGTTAATTACTCTTAATTTAAAACTAATAATTATACAAGTGACTATCTTAAATTAGTTAAGTCAATAATATATGATAAAAGGTAAAATAAAAACACACATGAATGTTTCAAATTGTTTTGTTATTTTCAGCCTTACAGTTTCAGCGAGTTAATTATTTTTCCCTAATGTTTCAGAAAAGTCTTAACAATTTTTTGTCAGTAATCATCTTATTTGGTAATATGTTATTTTAGTTCAAAAGCAACCCGAAAAAACATGTAATGCTATATATCTTATTGTAATACATACATTTATAATCATAATTATAAGCTATTTATCAAATAATTAGTAGGTTAAATAATAATTACTCGACTATAAATATCATTTAATAATGCTCACAATAACTCAACATCCTTAATTTAACAAATAATTACATTTTTTTTCTTTAAAGATTGTGTGCTAATCTTTGAAAATTCCTGATCCCTAGAGTAAAACATATCATCCAATATACAAATATTGAAAAGTAAACTACATTTAAAAATAATTTTCACTAAAATTATTCTTATATAATATTACATAACACTATTAAAATAAAATAATTAATGACTAATGTCTGGCGTTTAGTTTTAATTTTTGATTAATTTAAAAATTAAAATATCTTTTATGTTACTTTTTAGTTATTTCAGTGAAAAATATTGAAAATTATTATATTTTATAAATTTATCATTGTTAATTTATACTACAAGAATACTTTCAACAGAGAAAAATTGTAAATAACATGTTTTTAATATTTAATAAACATTTATTTAACACTTTATTTTAAGTTATTAATTGTAAAATAAGTGCATTATATTGTTATTACTGATTTTTAAAATAATAAATATTAAAATATATCTTCTCAATAGTATATACAATTACATTACAATAATATTTTAAATTAACTTGTTTACTTGCAATAGATTATCATTATTTGAAAGATATATGCAAGATAAAATTGACAATTCATTAAAATTTAAAAAAAAACTACAATTACAATTACAATATATTATAATAGTACATACTCATAATTTATCACAGTTTAGTTACATCTTAAACTAGTTCCGTTTGGCATAATATTTGTGTAAGTTGTCATACCTGTATGTCTATATTTTCAAATTAAAAGCTCATCTACTAAATTGCAAATTTAAAATTTATATGATGTAAACAAAATTTGGAATGAAAAAAACTACTTGAAGAATACATTTTAGTTTTGTACTAAAAAAAAATATATATATATTTATATGCATAGATTTATAGTAGCATTTAATAAAATCTTAAATACTATGACTTAGAGTTAATATATTTTTATAATTATTCGAACCCTAAATTTGTTACATTTATCATCTAATTTCTAATGATTTCCATATTGCATACAATAAGAATTTAATAAAGGTAAAACTAATGAATTATGAAAAAAAATGTTTTTATCAACTGATGGAATCCAAATCAGTCATTGATTCTAGGATCATTTTACACTACATAAAATAAAGTCTTAATGTATAAAAGTTATTGTGAGCATGTTTCATGGTGGCATTTATTTTAATTTTTAGGTAAATAGAAATATTGGTAAAATTATTTAGCCAGAAGTATAACAAAGTCAAATTATATAGAAAAAAAACATGAGATTATGTATATATTCATACTTAATAATTTTAGTTTTGTTAATAGAAACTACTTGAATTTATTAATTAAAAAACTAATACATTTAAATGCATCCAATATGATAAAAAATATAATAGAAAGAGATTATTAACTTATTAAGATGATCAAACAGGGAGATCTATGTTAGGAACAGTATGTAAATAAAAATTTCAATGTTAAAATAAAGATAAAAAACTCCCATAATTGTCTGATTACTGATAGGTATATAAAATAATATTTAATTATGAATTTTTAACATAAAAAAAATATTTAAATTTTTAAAAAGAAAGAGCGTTATTTTTAGCTAGCTTATGGGTTCATAAATGAACGTATTAGCATTACTCTTAAATGTAATAACATATTTAACACTACTTAATTTAAATAATATTTTATGTTCTAACAAGTGGATACATTTTTCTTAGTTATCAATTATTAATATTAAATTACTATCAAGATGTATGTGCTCATTAATAACTTAATATTAAATATTTCATTTATGAAACTACTAATAAATACTAACCTGACAATCTTATTGCTAATATTTTCATTAACATACAATATTGTTTTTATAAAAAGGTAAACTTATATAAAATAAAAATCATAACTAAACTTGTTTATTTTAGAATATATTACCTGCTAGATGTTTGGTTACATTAAGCGGATGACTTAATTTTACAAATAAGTTTGGAAGCTCATCTTTATTAAAAAAAAAAAAAAAAAAGAAAAAAGTAGCAGTAAATAATAATAACAGTGGGAAAATTTGGATCGGGAATTAAGTCAGAGTATTAGTCAAATATATATTTAAAAAGTCGCTTTAAACTTCACTTAATTGTCCAGGGCTATGTCTTTTACGAGCATTTTCATTAAATCCTTTTGTTCCATCTGGACCTGAAGGCTGGCGAACAACTATTAATTTTGGAGAGCCATCATCTTTTATTGATACAGTACGTATGCGATTAATTAAATGTTCTGGTCGCTGTGATGATTGTTTGGGAGGAGAATTTTCAGCAGAACTAATAAAAAATCAAAATTATGTTTGAATTGAAATTTTAGTTATGAAAATGATACCATGTTTTTAATACAGTAAAACACAATTTTTATTTACCAACCTGATTTTAGTGACATTACAGCCGGATGATTTTCCCGATCTTTGATTTACAACTAATACAAATTCAACCAAGTCACCTTGTTGAAGTTTAATACCATCTGTTACTTCTGATGTGTGGAAAAATAACTTCTTACCACCTTCTACTTCATAGGTTAAAAATCCAAATAGTCCTAAAAATATTTTACATATATATTAGGAAAAAAAAATACTTTGAATGGGAATAACAAATTGATCCAAAAACTATTCCATGCATCATCATGTCAACACTTGTACTTGTATTATACTTATGTTGATCCCTGAGACTCTAATCACTATTTAAATCAATTTTTTAATTTTATTTACTAAAATAATTGTATGATTGAAAAAATTTTAAAAGCATTTTCCAATTAATGAGTAATACAATTTTTCTATTTATCAACTACTTAATTTAATTTACCTTTTATAGCATCAACATGGGCCCTCTGTTTCTTCCTAATAGCAATTATGTTTACAGCTCGATTTTTAGAATCAACTTGAAACTGTACAGGATCTCCAACTTGTAATAACTCTCTTTTATTCATTAATCCTTTAATTCCAAACTCATATTGTGAGATGTTTTCTTCTTCCGCTATAAAATTATATGCTAATATTAGTAATAATAGTAATATATACAATTATAATTATTTTAAATTAATTGAACTTTATAATACTTGTAGTGTNTAGTAATAATAGTAATATATACAATTATAATTATTTTAAATTAATTGAACTTTATAATACTTGTAGTGTATTTAACAATGTGAATAGTTTCAAAATGTTTGTAATTTTATAATTTTCATTATACTATTATATGGGAGAAAATTATGGAATTTTTACTAAATTTTTGAAAATCTTACTTGTTGGTACTTCTTGAATGATACCAGCATACTCAGTTTGTTCAGGATTAACAGAACGTAGAGGTCTAGATACAACTCCATCTAAAATATTATTTGGTTGAAGCAATTCACTATTGTCATTTATAGTACCAGGAGGTAATATTCGGACATTTTCAGCAGAAGCACAACTACCTCCGTTTCCAGTATTTCTAGTGCTTAATGTATATTCCACTTCCATACCAAGTTCTAAAGATGCACTTGGATCATTCAAATTTCTACAAATAAAGTATTATGATTTGTATTATTTAATAAATAATGTATTCTTTATATATTATAAATTATTTCATCTTATATACATACGCATATCTAAAAAATACTTCAGAATCAAGAGCAATTGTTTCAATAAATCCAAAGCCATCTTTAAGTGCTGCAATATAACCATATTTTATATCAGTACGATTGGATTCATCGGAAGGTTGGTTACCATTTGAAATGGAAGTAAGAGATTGAATATTCATGGCAATTAGTTCTTTATTACGCTTTACTTGATATAAATTAAATTTTACCTGAAAGTAAATTAAGTTCAACCACAGACTAATACTATGTTGCTTAACAACAGACCATAGTTTAATAAGACATAAATAAGTATTAAATGGTTATTACTTTGTCTCCTTGTTTGGGTAAAAATTTCCCGCAACAGTCTTTTAAGTTATACAGAATTGTTCTTTTAGTCCCATTAGATTGCATTGTGATTACTCCTGGTTCATAAGTAACTTCATCAGGCGTCTAAAATATGAAATATGTTAATATAATATAATAATTACAAAATTATAAATATATTTTTAATTATACATGAGCATTAGTTTTAGTTGGACTTGATGGTTCTGATATCTCTGTTGCTACAACAGTTACAATCCCCATCAATCCTTCTTCAACAAGAATTTCAAACTGAACTGAATTACGAGGCAAATGCTTTATTCGTATGGCACTTTGTCTTGAATTACCAAAAGAAGACGAAGGATCCTATCACAATAAACAAAAGTATAAGCTATTTTAAATTTATTATTTGTTACTTCAAATTTACTAAATATCAATTGTTTTTTCAAACAAGATAATTACTCATAACAAATAAATTTTAATTTAACATAAAATATACCTGAGCAACTGTGAACTCAACTTCATCATTACATTCTAATTTTTTATTTACGTCAAGAACTTCATTAAAAGTAAAATATATCTTGGGCTCTCTTTCAACAGAACGCAAGAATCCAAATCCTTGTTTTAAAACTGCAATAATTCCTTGTTCTCTTCTTTCTCCAGAAACGACAAATGATTCAGGTAATAGTGATATATTCGTTGCTCGTTTTAATTGATCACGACGATCAGTCGCTATTCGAAATTCAACCCAATCTCCATGTCTAAAATTAGATAAATGTTAAAATGTAACAAATAAATTAACATATGTAGCATACCTTAAGGTAAAATCTCCTTGCTGATCTTTTTCTCCAAAAGAAACTTCCACTTCTGAGTAATCTGGAGCTCTATACCTTATACGCCCAGGTAGAGGCTCAGATGGTAAATGATTTTGAGGATTTTTATCTAGTGGTTTTAAAACTTGGCCTTTCATGATATTTTCATCTATATCTTCAAAAATCACTGAACCAGTCGGTAAACGTTCAATATTACAAGCAACCTCTTTTCCCTATAGAATAAAATTGAAGCACTTATTATATTAGATTAATACTAGGGTTGTCCTTAGTTAAAGAACACCAATTTTGACCAAATTTTGTAAAACTCATTTTTTCTTATATTGAAATAAATTTTGAAGTGGAACAAAATTGGAGTTCGATCAAAATTCTAAAAATTCATAAATAAGGGTATACCCTTGTCAACACATTAATTTAATAACTTACACTTCGAGTTTGAATAATAAATTCTACGTCATCACCTAGCTGCAATGGAGATCCATTATCTTTAAATTCAGAAAAGGGAAATGAAATTTCTTTAACAATATCAGCTCTTTCAATGTAGCCAAAAATATCTTTCATAGAACAAACAACACCTTGATATTTAACTGGATGCACTGGATTCTCTAAACGAACATGGGTAGCACCCAAATTTCCTCTTTGGTTGGTAGCAATTTGAAAACTTACTTGATCTCCTGTTCTTAATGTAACATTTCCTTCAACATCGTCTTTGTTATATGGGAGAAAAAAACATTCTCCTCGATTTTCATAGCTTATTCTACCTTGTGTATCACCACCAGAACCTTCAGTTCTTAGTTCTGTTGTTACAACTCCTGTTACTCTTTCTTCACTAAGTACCTATCATAATGATGAACATTTTAGTAAAAATATTCAACTTATTTTTGAGTTGTTTTTATATATTACCACTTCAGGAGCAATTTTGGTAACAGTACTAGCAATTGGTTTACCAGTTCTTCTATCATAAGTCATTTCAAATTCAACAGGGTCACCAATTTTAAGATGCTCTATATTACCACTGAACTGACTAAAGTGAAAAAAAAGCCTTGCTTGACGTTCACAGCATTGAATAAAACCATAAGAATGCTGAAATTAGTATAATTTTTATTAAAGAAAAATAAACTTTTTAATAAATATTTTATTTTAATAAAAACAACAATTCAATTATAAAAATTTGCTTTAATTAAGTTATTTATCTATAGTTTGTCAGCTTGGTGTTAGGTTGCTATGCAATAAATCATAACTCATTAAAACACAACCATTGGAATTTTATAATTATTTCAGCTCTCACAAAATTTAGTTTCATAAAGATGACTATAAAAATAGAAGAGATATTACATATTACACTAATATTGAATGATTTTATAAAAGTTTGTTTCAAAGAAGCTGCTGTCCACATATATTAGAAGTTTATTTTTTATAGAAAAAAATAAATAATATTACTTCAAGTTGAAATTTATATAATGAGTATTCAGTAAACTACAATTTAGAGTTAGCATGATTTTTCTAAATTAAAAATTTTTGACTAACTATATAATTTTCATAATGTGAATTGTCATCAATAAATTATATTAATAATAAATAAATAATATGTGATTTTAAACATGAATAAATTTATCATTACTAATAGATATAGCAAACACAAAACTTAATTTATAATGTAAAATTAATCAAATTAAGTTAAATAAACTTTTATTAGTTTAATAAAATAAATATTCAAAAGATAAATAGTATAGATATTTTACTAACCAGTAATTTTTCAATAATTCCTGTTTCTCGAACTCCTTGATTATTTCCAAATGATTCACTTGAAAAGTTAGAATTATTAGAACTACTTGCAGTTGCTGTGTCATGGCCAAATATATCATTTCCTGAAGATGGATAACGGCTAACAGGAGCCGTGTTATCTGAAGAGAAGACATCAAAATTTGATGATTGTATACCATTAGTAAACATGTTGTTTAAAGAAGAATCCTTTTGATGAAACTGAGATGATTGAAATTGTGATGGCATAGGAAAATTTTGGTTAGATTGCGAGTTATAACTTGGTGGAGAATGGTTAGTAGTTCTTGAAGATGAAAAATTATTTAAATTGGTTAATGCTGAAAGCGTCTTAAAATTCAGCATAGATGATTCATTTCCATTCAACATAGTTGATTGAAACAAATTCCACTGAGAGTTGTTAGACATACTAATTTAAAACTTAAAAGTAAATATTTGTACACAATATTTTTATGACTACACAATACAAAAAATTGTTTCTGATTAAAAAAAAAGTTTTAATTACAATCTACTTCTTAACATAAATTTTTATATATAATACATTATTACCAATAAAATCAATATCACAGTAATATTTTTTATAACTAAATTTTAAGGCACTTGACTAGGTCAAGTAACTTTTTTAAATGGTTTTATGTCTGAACACAAATTACTATGGTTGTTACATAAAACTTTGCATTTTTTTTAACTTAAAGACAAAAAAATTAAAAAAAAAAAAAAATTACTTCTATCCTAATTTAAAAAACTAATAATAATTGTTATAAAATAGACAGTTCTAAAGTATTCGGTTGGTTCATTACAATGCACAGCACACGTTTCAATTAAATATTATTTAAACAATAAAGAAGATTTTCAAGTGATATTTGTCACAATGCTTGCTGATTATGTTGTAGTAGTATTGATTTTTTTCAACTACAAACAGAAAGGAACATACGGCAAAGAAAAGATTTTTGAATGTTTTTTTTTTTTGAATTTTTTTTTTTTTTGTTTTGGTTGTTATTTTATGTGAGAAGACTAAAACTAATTTAGCCTAAAATTGAAAGCTGAAAAAATATAAAAAAAGTTTAGTTAAAAAGTGTAAAATATAAATTAAATCGAATTTCAAATGGCTTAAAATAAAGGTAATCAAATATATCACTAAATTGTAACAACTAAAAAAGAGAACACATTTATGATCTGTTATTCACATTTATTTTTTTTTGATAAATCATAAATATTTTATCTAATATATTCTGTATAAGAGTATATAAATTAAGCAAATTAAAATATATATTTTTCACAAAAGAAAAACATAAATGTTCAGTAAAAATAATTTTATACTAAGAAAATTATTTAAAACAACTATCCAATTGCTCGACATCAAATTACAAATAGTTTAAAATGTTTTTGGAGACTAAATTTTTGTTACACCATCATTCGCGTTTTAATGCCGTACTACTTATTATCTAATATTGTTAGTTCTTATCAATTCGAAATTATTATTAAAAAATTTTTAAATGATTCCATAAATTGTTTAACAATTACACTATTCAATACAATAAGGTTAATTAATTTTACTTTATTCCCATAAAAAAATGTGAACGTAGGAACATTAGTCTAACAAGAAACCAGGAAGAAGGAAGAATAATTTATTTGATATTGACATTGCTAATGTATCCTATCTTGGACGAAATAAAAATTAAAGTTTTTAACTACAGTACAGTAATTGAAAACTTCAATGATTTAGATTTTGTGTAATAGAAGTCATAAATCTAATAATAAATAGATAATTTTCTATGTAAAAATAATTAATCGATTTACTTACCACGGCACAGCAGAGCATTGATGACATGTTTTCGACATTACTATACCGTAGGTAGACCAGTCTTTCATTTTCAATAAGTTGATCTTCCAGTGTAGACAACTGCTTTTACTTTTTTATTGTAAGCAAAACGACATCTATCAATGATCATTAAGAGTATGAACATAGATTATAAATATTGGGCTTTGCTCCAAATAAGAGGTAGTTCCACATTTTCAAATTTTAAGAAAAAGAGTTAATATATTAATTTCCTACCATAAAAACAATATTTATATATTTCAATAAACATAATATTCTAAATTTTGTAGGGCTAATTCAACAATAGCGTTGAATAAACTCCCTTTAGTCTCTATCCAGATACGCCTATGGCATAAACCTGTTCGCTATTTTAAATTTGTATAAAAATGAATTTTTTATAACTGGACGTATCTGATTACATAAAAAAACTACAAAAGCAAAATAATGACATGTGTGCAACCTAATAACAGCATTATACACAAAATTTAAATTGCTATAGCATGTAAGAACACAGCTTCTGATTCTTCTCTCCTCATAACATAATCAAACCATCTAAGTCTAATATAATCTATAATATCGTTAAAGCATCTTATTTAGCGAGTTTAATTATTGCTAAAGATGGAAAACCACACACAATTGGGGAAATACTAGTGTTGCCAGCAGCAAAAAAAATCGTGCGATGTGTTCTTGGAGAAAAGGCTTCAAAAGAGATAAAAAAAGTGTCACTTTCAAACGATACTGTCAAAAGAACAATTGATGACATGTCGTCGAATATAAAAAATAAATTATTGCTTTATTTGAAAGATTGTAATTTCTTTGCTATACAAATTGATGAGAGTACTGATATTGCTAACATGGCTCAATTAATGGTACTTATACGTTTCGATCGCAATGATGAAATTATTGAAGAGTTTTTGTTTTGTAAGCCTTTATAAACCCAAACAACATCTGAAATTATTTTTACAAGCATTAATGAATATTTGATTGAAATAGATCTGCCGTGGAGTAAATGTGTGGGTTTTTGTTCTGATGGAGCAAGGGCAATGACTGGATGACTGACCAGAGTTGCAACAAGAATAAAAAAAGTTGCCCCATTATGTAAAACTATGCATTGCATGATTCACCGGCAAGCGTTAGCATCCAAAAACATGCCTAGAAGTTTAAAATTAGTTCTTGATAGTGCTGTAAAAATCGTAAATCTAATCAAATCCAGACCTCTCAATTCAAGACTATTCACAGTATTATGTAACGAAATGGACAGTACTCATAAATCCCTTCTTCTCCACACCGAGGTAAGGTAGCTTTCACGAGGAAAAGTCCTCACCAGGCTATTGGAGCTAAGGTTAGAAGTTTTATTACTTCTGACTGATATTGATGAAGAAAAGTCCAAATTGTTTTGTGATGACGAATGGCTGTCAAGACTAGCTTACATGGCTGACATATTTGACCGTTTAAATATTCTAAATTTAAGTCTGCAAGGATCAAACACAAACATATTTTATGCTAGTGATAAAGTTAATGCCTTTGTAACTTTTAGTGACTAAAAGTTACAAAATACACTCATAACGTCAAAACTTTATCTGCTAAGAAACAACAAAAAAAATCACACTACATTACAATCATTATTCTTATACATAAATTAAATGTATTTAACAACAATTTTAAGAATATTAAATTCAATAAAATATATTTTATTAGATCACAAAAGTATGTGTACCTCCTAAATAAAAAATTTAAAAACCTGAATCTTTATTTTTATTTTTAGAAAATTTAATTTCCATTGGGCACGTGAAAAATTTTCAAAGTTACATTATATAATACTGCTTTATTACTACTATATTACCATTATCACTCAGAAATAACTTGGATTCAATGTTACCTATTTTATTAATTTTTTAAAGAGTAAATTTGTGATTTTCGAAAAATTAAGCGAGGAGGGTTTACCTAGATATTTAGAAAACTATGAATAACTAAATCAACTAGTTTTAAAAAGTACATTTGTTCTATTAGCTCCCAAAACGTATCGAAATGTTTATGCTTTCAAAAAAATACAGTTATTCAAATATTAATATAAGTGTATTATACATTTTATTTGAATGTTTTGCTAGTTTTAACTCAATTCAGATGCGTATACAAAGACATAAAAGTAATGGCTTCTTTAAAATTATCCATTTTAATGACAACTATTGGCTGAAAATAAGTCTCACGCATTCAGAAATAATGAAATGGCATGACTATTTTTTTTTGGATTTACGCTAGTTTTTATAACAAAAATATTAAAAACATTTTTGAATTGTAAAATATTTTTAATATTGTTGAATTCTTTAATATATTTAATATAATTTAATAATTATATAGTTCTTGTGATGTACAAAAAAATAAAAGTAAGCCAATGAGAAAAGTATTTAAAATTTCTAGTATAAATAATACTACAAATTATATAGAAAAGTATTAACATAATAAAACTGGATTAGAATATTTTATCCTGATCGAAAATATAAATGATGTGATTTTTAAATATAGTTCTTCTTCTTCTTTATCCTTGCCTTAATCCCAACTACTTGGGAACCACTTTGAACCATACATCATAGCTGGCCTCACTACAGTATTGTAGAATTTACCTTTCAGCCTCATTGGAATTCTTTTATCGCATAAGACACCAGACGCTTCTCTCTACTTGAACCATCTGTATTTTCCTGTGTCTACATCCTCGTCAATATCACCACTCTTTTGCACAACTGATCCTAAATACTTAAAACTCTCCACCTCTCCAATCACGTCCTCGCATATTGTCACTGACCTCCTCATTTCACCTACCTCGTGTTCTCATTTGTCAAACTCGTACTCTATATACTCTGTCTTACTTCGACTTATTCTTAAACCCTTTTCTTCAAGAGCTGATCTCTACACCTCTAGCCTTTGATTAATTTCCTCCTTATTTTCTCCTATTTCCACTATATTGTCAACAAACAACTCTTACCCGAAAACCTTCTGATACTCCTCCTACGCTTTTTACCTTGATACAAGTGCCACCATACATATCTTCTATTATATTAATGTACCTTTTTGGAACTCCTTTTCTCAATAATGCCCACTTTAAAACCTCTCGGTACTCTATCATACGCTTTCTCCAAATCTATAAATACAGCTTTTTCTTCTTTTCCCTAAATTTTTCTATTAGTTTCCTCACACAAAGTCCATTGTTGACTTACCAGGCATAAATTCAAATTGGTTTTTGGATACCGATGTTTCAATTCTTATTCTCTTATCTATTACCTTTTCCCAAATTTTCATACTATGACTCATAAGCTTTATGCCTCTATAACTTCCACACTCCTGTATGTCTCCTTTACCTTTAAGTATCGGCACTACAATACAATTCCTCCATTAATTTGGTATTATCACTTCAAATAAGATTTTATTAATATAAATTTATTATACTGAAGCAAGATTACAGTATAAGAGATTGTAAATCTCTCTAAAAATTGATCACTTGTGGCTAATTATTTAAAATTACTCCTACTTATTCTTTAACCCCTTTATTCTAAAGTATAAATTTTAGCTCGTAGTTTTAATAAATATATGCTTTAATCAAAAGATTTTAAGTTGTTAAAAATTTATAATTTTTTTTCTTAAAATACAATTGTAGAAGAAAATCATAATTTTATAATTATCCAAAAGTTAATTAAATAAAAAATTAATAATTTATTAATTAACACAAAATAACAATAAAAAAAATTAATAAAGTTTATTTAAAAATTAAAATTAAATACATTTTAACAAACCCAATTGAATTAAATTATTAAATTTAAATAATAGACGACACGTCTGAACATAATATTCGATTTGGTCAAGTTAGCTGTCCATGTATTATTATATAAGTTATTCGTTAATAATAGTCAACAATTGGTATTTCAATATCTATATTAAAAAGTTTTGACTATTGCATATTTTAAAATAAAATTCACATAAACAGATGACCATTCGATTTTTTTTTTCGATTTATTATCATTCAATTATTTCCTTTGATTATTTTAATATTATTCTCATAACTAGTTTCATTATCTTTACTTTTTTTATCAGCTAATGATAAAGCGATATCGTCTGAAGGAAGGTAGATGCATATATCTTTTACTTATAATTTTACATTATTTATTAATTTTTATATAAGTTTTTAACATTAGCTTTAATTTGTAATTGAATTGATTTTATTTGATGACTAATGTAGTTTTCAGTCAACTTAAAGCGAAGACAATTTTTTTGTTCATGAATTCTAGTTTTTTTTCTACATGCATTAAAATGTTAAATTCTGTAAATTAATACAATATGAAATCAGACAATTTATGTGAAAAAAAATCGTTTACTAATTATGAGTTTTTTTTATTTTTGTAAGTGTAATTTGTTTACGATATTAGAAATCATATTTTGTTTGTTTATGTACATTTTTATTTTACAACATAATTTACAAATATTGAAAATATGGAATAATCATTTTTCTATTACTCTAGTTTTTATTTGGCTATCAAATTGTTATTTGTTGTTTGCATTAATGTAAATAAAACTTATATTCAATAAATTTAAAAACTTCTGAATTTAGTTTCTCTTTTATATAGACATCAACTATACATTAAATATTTCTATTATTTACTTTTACTATTATTTTTAATTGTTTATAAAAAAAAATATAAAAGTTATTTAATGTAGAATAAATAGATTAGGGTAAAACATTGACAATTTTTTTTTTATAATTTCAATTGGAGTATAAGTCCTTTGAAGGATAATAAATTATACTCTTTAATTTCAGAATATATTTGTTGTATTTATTTATGTGATTTATGTGATTTTGTAAAGCATTCTGAGAAATTTGGATCAAATGCATAAAATACTTCAATTGTTCTCCTATTCCTCCTAGTCCATATTTTTTAAGAATATCTGGATCTCAAAGTAATATATTTAACTTTACCTTATTTATTCTGAAAGAAAAGTCCATTAATACTACTTTAAGATTATAGATTTTTGTTGATACAGTGTGTTAATCAAGCAGAATACTAAACTAAAATTTATAAAAATTAACTCAAAAATAATTACCTATTAAAATTTTATATTAAGCATCATTAAGTTGACAGTATATTTTGTTTCTATAAATTCATTTAAATTCTATTGACCAATAAAACTTGCAAAAGAATCTTTTGAAAGTCTGTGTATAATGTTACTACTCTTGTTACTGCTAATAGACAAAACTTTTTATACAACTTGATATATTTATATTACACTAGATTGGTTATATTAAAAACTGTTGATATATTTTAAAGTATTATTAATGTTTTTATTCAATAATATACTTTTCTCTAATTTATCATTTTACAATTTATAAAATTTATGTTTACATTCCTATCAATAAAATTGTGTTTTTATATATAATACCGACTTAGTGGTACCAATACTCATATGTTAGTGAAATAAAATAAATAATTATTAATAATAAATTATTACAGTTTCAAAAAAAGACAAAAAAATTCTCACAACTACCAAATCTACTAATGAATTAATGTCAGAAATGGCTAATAAAGATTTTGATTTACAAGTAAAGAAACTTATATCAATTATTATTATTAATAATTCATGCTTAAAAAATTATTTCAGGAAAAATTAAAAAAATTGGAGCTAGAAAAGGTTTGTAATGATCATTTATAAAATCAATTCTTTAAATATATTGTAAATCTCATTTTAAATATTTAAGGAACTTAAGAAAACAAATTTCTTGGAAGCAGAAATCTCTTTAAAAGAATATGAAGATAATAAATTTAATCAGTATCAAAATAAACTTAAAGATGACAAGGTAGTTTGTTCAAGTTAAAATAGCCTAAGTAGTTATTACTATTACTGTGAATTTTTGTATGTTAAACTAAATGATAGAAATACTAAAAAGGGGAACATTGGTAATAGGATTACAAATTAAATATTTTTTTATTTATTTAAATCAATATTATAATTTTTCTTATACTTACCAATAAACATTTGATGATTATATAGTAATTGTTAATATTTTTTGCAGTGGTTCATGATTTTAATATTGCATGTCATACCTATATAAAGTGTAATTTCTATCTCTCTATCAGTACCTTCAAAAATATATTTATAATTATATCTAGGCATGAGAAATAGTATGGTGCAAAATACCTAATAATAAAACCTGCACCTCACCTCCAATCATCATTTTAAAATATAAATATCTTCAAAAATATGGATTTAAAAATTGTCATTGACCTTCTTTATTAGATAATTGTCTGTGATGTGACCCAGAACATATAAGTTATCATTTAAATATTTTCAATGAATATTTATTGAAGGGGTGAGAAGAGGAATAATTTTAATCTTAAAAACTAGGATTCTTTTTAATAACTTTTTTTTTACAATACCTTTTAAACTAAAACCTCTTCATAATATTCTTATATTATCTCCTGATATCACATTTTACAATCTATATCTATCATAATTTTTCTATAATTTCTTTCTTCAGAGCACAAATCAGGAATAAAAATCAAAATAATTTTGGGTTTTTCGAAAAAATTGTGTAATGTATAGTAAATTAGATAACCTATGTCAAATGTGTTTCTTAAAATTTATTCTACAAAATGACTATGTTAAAAATTTAGACTAAAAGTCTAACAATTACTTAAACAGAAAGTAATATGAAATATTTACTAGATCAAAAGTTATGGAATTAATGTGTTTATTTTGTATATATATATATATATGTCTGTGATAATTAATTAGCAAATTAATTAATTTAATAAAATAAAAATTTATTTATGTATTAATAATTATATAATTTTTTATCTACCATAGAGAATGCAATCATTATTACTTGATGAAGTTCGTACTGACCAAATAGTTACTTCAATCCAAAAAGGTACTGAAAAAACTAAAGAAAAGCTTCTTTATGATTTAATAGAAGGTAATTTGATTCAATTAATTGTATTTAGTTTATTAAAGTATTTTTTAACAAAAATATAAAAAATGACTATTTACTGCCTTATATGTTGAAAAAGTCAGTATAAAATTAAATCTCTAATTGGAATAAGGGTCTAATTCAAAATTTTTTGCAAAATGCCTTTTTTTTTATTATTTTACTTTTACTTAATTTTAGAAATTAAAAAAAAAACAAAAGTTAGTTTTCACATACGGTCCTACAATAATTTGATTTCAAATTAAAATAATAATACTTAAAATGCATTTAATTTTAGTTGAAGAATCTACAAAAAAACTTATTCATGACACCTTGGATTTAAAAGAAACATTAAAATTAAAAATAAATTACATCTCAAACTTAGAAAATACTATTCTTCCTGAAAAAAATGAACTAAACCTCATAAAAGAGTAAGTTGATAATATTATGTATTATTATTAAATAAAAAAATAATATTCCCCTTTCGATGGGGGTTAGAATACATCCTCGGTAGTCCATGCCTGTCGTAAAAACTGACTAAAATAGACTTAGGAGTGGGCAGCAGTGCTTCTAGTACTAAGTGTAAATGAACAAGGTTATCTACACTTGGACACCAATCCCTATAGAGTTTGGGCTGTGATGTGGAAGGTAAGTGGAAACCACCACATTTACATCCCTAGTTAGGCAACTACTATTTTGTCTTTTAAAATGGATTCTCGCAGTATAAAAATTATGTCCGGAAGTAAAATAGCTCCCCGTTTGAATGTCTGGGTGGAAGCTACCTTGCAAGATACATGTGATAGGAACAAAAAAATAATACTTGTAAAATATTTTATGCTTAATCTAAAAAAATGTTAATTTATAATACTAGAATACATAATTATTTATGTCTTCTTATTTAAAGGGCTCCTCTAATTTTTGTATAGTTTTATTACCAATAAAATATATTTTGCAATAATAGTCTTAATTCCCATTATTTTACAGAAGTTTTTTTTTTAATATATAAAAATCACTATAACATTCAAATTACTAATTTTTGAAAAATTATTTATATCTTTAAACATCTTTTATATATTAATGGACTAGTTTACATAAAAAGTATGTGTACTTATAGAATTTAATAGGGGCTTTATTTGAACATATTTATTACAATTAAAATTAATGTAATAAAGTATTAAAATTTATTATTAACAGAAAGAATTCTGAATTTACATTAAAACTTAAACAAATATTGGCCAAAAATGATATGCAACGATTTATACTTTTCAATAAAATGTCAGAAGAATATTCTTCGGAAATGGAAAAACTAACCAACATCCTTAACTCAAGTTATTGCTATCGTGGGGTTTTGAAAGAACATTTAAAATCTATGTATAATCAACTTAAATATTTAACAGTTGTGGAGTTAAAGAAACATGATTTACAAACTAATAAACATATGGTGAGTAAATAAGTAATTTAATTTTTTATTATTATTTTTTTTTTTTTTAATATTTTTAAGAAATATAAGATATATATTTAAATGTTAGTTGCATTTTTGTATAATTATGTGTAAACAAAATAATAATAAGAAAAAAATTATATGTGTCATTGAAACAAGCCTGGGTTCTGGAAGAGTTAATATGAGAATTTTTGATATAAACGTTGTTCTTTAAATTTAATCTATGTAATGGTTACCTTGAAATCTCAAAAATAAAAAAATATGAATAAAGTTTTATTTAATTTACTACAAAAATTTATTATGAATGTGTTAAAGCTTTCATGGATTGTCTTGTTGCTTGAAGCACTTAAGGATTTATCCATGTTTATAGTTGAGTTCTGACGTTTTGGACTCATTGCAGAGTCCATCTTCAGAGTGATGGTTGCTAGTCAGTGGCTACAACTATACTGTTAGTATAGTATACTGTATACTGTATTATAGTTGCAGCAACCGACTAGCAACCATCACTCTGAAGATAGACTCTGCAATGACTTCGAAATGTCAGAACTCAACTACAAATATGGATAAATCCTTAAGCACGTGAAACAAAAATTTATTAATCGTAAATAATGATGTAGGATGGATGTAGTCAAAGTTGTAAAAATTAATTTAAAAGTCTAAAGTGTTAAGTAAATAATAAGTTTTTAAAGATTTCAAATATATAACTTCAATTTTAAACTTATTCAAATATAAAAACATAAAATTATTTTTGTAAAATAACATTTTTAAGTAATTTGTTTTCTTATAGAATGATATATGTCAAGAACGAATGATACTTGCACAACTACTTGTTGACTTAATAGAAAATAAGAAACAAAATCATAGATTATTAATTCAAAATTTAGAAGCTCAAAATATTGGAAATGTAATTATAAAAAGTTGAATCATTTAATATTTATTATTTATAATATTCTTTAATTTAAGGAATCTGCAACAAAATGGCTAACACAATTTTCTAATTTGGTTGATCATTTACCTTCGGATTTAAAATATTCTGATAAATTTGTAAGCCCTATGCTATTACACAGGGTATCAACAGCAGGTGGAAGTCATTTATTATTTTTTATTTTAAACAATGATTTAAAATTACCAATAACAAAGCATTATCTTAATGAGGTTATTATTTTTAAACTTTAAAGTAATTATTAAGTATTTATATTTATTATTAATTATGCTATAGATGGGTATAAAAAATTCAAAAGATCAGGAGTTATTAATAGATGTATTTAAAAAATTACCAGAACCATCAGCACCACATGAATCTCAGATTTATCCATCAGCACCAATAATTGATGAATTGGAATGTATTATTTGTATGGAAACACCGGTAATCATTACAAAATTGTTTACTATATTGATTAAAAAACAATTTAATACTATGTTTGATCATCTAACCATCTATGTTTAACGACCAATATTATTCTTATTTTATTTATTATTTATTAATAATCTATTCTAACAAATAATTTTCGAGGATTGTGAAATTTTGATTTTATTTCTCTAACTCTAATAGTAATTATTATAATCACAAATTATAATAATTATGACAATAATTATGTTGGATGAAAATCAAACAATTATTTATTCCAAATCTTTCATTGATTCTGGGATTATATATGATAGTAAAAATGTCTAGGGAATTTAGGTGTTTTAATTTTATTCACAATGTTTTCAAATGAATTTAAAAAAATAACTATTGCTATTGTTTATGTGAATAAATTTTAAATGATATTAAATGAATTTTAAAACATAAATTGAGGATATAAGACCTAGCACAATGTGATCGTGCATAATGATTAACATCACTAATATAAAAAAATATAATGCGAATTAGGGTGGCTCAAAAAAAATCGATCTTCGAAATGTTTATGAGATACCTCATAAATGTATTATATACATTAAAATAAACATTTTATGAAAATTTGAGATTAAAAAAAAAATTTTTACAGGTCGCTCAACGCGTTTTAAGAAAATTGACNTAATGCGAATGTTTAAATTTGTAACTCTTCCAAAAGTCATGGAACAGAACATTCTTTTTTAAATATAATAGCATCAAGAGCTTTGATTTGATATAGCTTGAAACAGGACAAATGTTCTGGAAAAATTTACAAAAATTCAATTGAAAAAAATTTTTATGTGCGTGGGTAGGTGTTCACTTTTAATTTTATTTAATATTTAAGATTTTTGACTTTAAGTTCAATTCTCATAGGAAAAATATTGTGGGAATTATTATTTTTTCATCATAAGGTACTCGTAAACATCTTTAATTTGATGTAAAAAAGTTAAAGCAGTTTTAAAATGCAGAAAAAAAATTTAAATTTTCATTAATGTTATGGTGATTACAAGATATTTGTTTAAAATTCTAAAACTTAGGAAAATGAAAAAAAAAAATGTTCCAATTTTTTGTTCTACTACTAGTTCTTCAACTAGATTGAAATCCAATTTTAAATGTATTAATCATTAAAATAGGTTCAGTGAGAACTGAAAATTTTCATGGGCAGTCAGAAAAAAACAAACAATGACAAAAACAATACCTTTTCAGTTTTGCATCTAAGCAAAAATTTTAAGTGTAATAAAAAATACTTCAATAAGCTTCATTAACTTGAAACCTTCAAAAAATTCTCAAAATTATTTTCCTAAACTAGGAAAGCTTATACCATATTAAAAATAACTATGGTTTATTTTGTACAACTACAATTTTTTTAAAATATTAAATCAATACTTTTAATTTTGTTAACAGTATAATGTTGTGTTTATACCTTGTGGACATTTATGTAGCTGCTGGGACTGTTCATTAAAAATACAATTATGCCCCATGTGCAGGTCCAACATAAACAATAAAATTCTAATTAATAATTAATTGTGATATATTAATAAAGTAATTTGTATAATTTTTTAAATAGACAAATATAATTTATATTTTATATTATATTTATAAATATTATTTCATTTATTTATTATATTGTAATGCAATAATATGTATTAACTCATAACTTCACAAATAATAAAAAAATTCACTTATAAAAATAACTAAATTTTATTAAAAGATGTTATGTTATGTTAACTCACAAACAATAAGGGACCACTAATAGAATTATTTATTTATTTATTTACTTATTTTGTAAGGTTAAGCAGTTTAAGGTTAGTATGTTAAACTATATTTTTAAATTATTTATCAACTATAATAATAAAATATTATTTATATTTTGGATCAGTTATTAATTTAATTTTTCTACTTATTATTTGTCAGTGGTGGTAGTTTTATTATTGTTTTCTTAAGTGTTGTTATGTTTTTTATCAAAAATAATATCTTAAAAATTTTTACTAGCTATAGATGGAACATAAATTTAAAAAATATTTTATAATTATGTACAAGTGATTTTTATAAAATTTTAGTATGTACTCTATTATTCTTAACTTGAATGTACTGAATTTGTTTAGAATTTTGTCTAATCAAATTATTTTGTTTATTTTAGGTAGAAAAATGTTGGACTCTTATTATGAAGTATATTATACAAAAATAACTATGTAGTTTTAATTAGTAAAAAAAGTATATTTGAAAAATTATAATAATAACTTTTGAATTTAGTTAAACAAATTTAATATAATATTCATTTATATATTATAAAAATTATAGTTCCAGTTCTTCATCAGCTGTATCCATAATATCAATATCATCTGAGTTTTTGTTAGGCGTTTGTTTTTTAGTATCTTTTTTTTGTTGTTTTGTTGATTTGAAATCTAAAAAGGAGAAAAAATTATTTAGTTTTAACTTACTAAAGGCCTAAAATAGAAATATTACAATTTTGAATGAAACCTATTCTGTGTATTTAAAGAATAGAAAGATAATTTTAAAGTATAATTTATATAAACTAAAATATACAAAGTAATTAATATGATCTATTTATTGTGCCTATATGTAATAACATAGAATTTTAATTTTGCAAAGAATGATGAAAAATCATAAGTTGTGTCTTTGTCATACAAAATTAATAATAGATTATAATTAAGTAGTATAAGGAAAGAGAAAAAGTAAAATATCTCTAATAGTACCACAACCTACTGATTCTTAATATTANATAAGGAAAGAGAAAAAGTAAAATATCTCTAATAGTACCACAACCTACTGATTCTTAATATTAGAATTATTAATAATTTGTTGGTAAATCCCTTATAAAGGCATAAAAGTATAAACTTTTTTTTCTATAATGGTAATATACATATTTTGTTAGTTTAAATTTTTAATTATCTAATTAAAAAAATAATAAGTCAATGACAAATTTGAACCATTATTTTAAAAAATATTTTTATTTAAAAATGAATGGCAAAATTAACATTAATGTTTATTGTCAAAAATCTATAAACAGTTCCCTACCCCAAACTATATTTTAAAATGTAAATATCTTTAGAAATACTGGTTTTAAGGTGTAATAATTTTCTACATACAAACCATGTTGATAACTTAACAAGGTATGAGTGATAGAACAAAAGAAATCAATAATTCATAAACTAAATATTTTATGTAACACAAAAAAATTGTACAATATTTATTATTTCAGGTGAAATTGAATGATTAACATTGAATCAATCATCTTATACAACAAACTGTAAGTACAGTCAGACTTCTGGATTTATATCTGATGCTAATAGAAAAATATTGTAATTTAATTACCCTCTAAAATATGTTTAAGTGGTTCAATTAAGCAATCAAAATCAACTTGAGACAATGCTTCTAATACATCTTGAGCACTTATAGTCCTTTTATTTCTGTTTGTGGCAATAGTAGTTGCTTGATTACTAACATACAAAATAAAAACTGATGCAGCTCGTGCCAATGCAGTTTTAGCTTCTTTTGATACAATAACATTTGATGGTAATACCTCCTTAACAATACGTGTTATAGCTGTTACTGGCAAATTTAAATCTTCTAAACGTTCAGCCATTATTAATAAAAAAATCTAAACTAACAAAATTAAATTTTTTTTCATTCAATTAAATAATATATACAGATTATACTTTTAAAATATATAAGATAATTATTTTAAAAAAATTGCTAAAGAAAGTAGAGCTTACATAAGATAAATTAATGATTAATTGTAAAACCGGATAAAATAAAAAAATGTTGAATATTATTGTTTAATTCTAGATAAATAAGCTTCATAAATAAATTTCTCAATACAGATTATACTGATAAGTAATATGTATTCAACTTAAAAAAAAGAAACCCGCGAATCAGTTTTTTGATATTTGATGATAACAATTATTTGACGTAAATAAGTATTACCAACTACCGACAACAAGATTCATGAACTATTTAATTACTCACTAAATATAAACGTTTAGGGCACCTTTTTTGTTTTGTTTTCTTAATGTGATATTTATCATTTTAATTTCAAAAATAAGGTATTTTTTATGTTCTCTTTTTAATAACATGAAGTGTACGTCACACTTCTTAAACGATAATTCAAATCATCAATGAATCACATTTGTATAATTTCTACAAAAACCAAACTTTAAAAAAAAGCTAAATTCCAACCGCCTATTGAAGTAGTAATATCTATACAGTGGTCAAGTTTAGCCTTTCTTTAGTTTATAAACTTCAATCCTACTTTTATAAACAATATTGCTCCTTTTTTTCTTCTGAGTTTTCTCCTTCTTATCTCCAAAAAAGCTTAAATTCTTTTTAATTTAAATCGTTGATTTTTAACACAAATTTTAATGTTTTAAAAACTAAAAAAATTTGTTTAATAAGTATTTTTTTTAGCTTCGATGCAAATTTAATTATCATTCGATCGTTGTATTCCCTAGCGATATGTGCGTGTTCTATTGTTCTCTGTTATTTTATTTTTCTCTAACCTTAATAATTGTGCTATTATCTCAAAATTAATACCATTCGATCCGTTTTGTTGCACTGATGCTTTATCTGCCGTCTTTTGGAAGTTGCTGATTGTTCCAAATCCTTCACTGACTACAATTTGGTAATCTTAGTATACTTATTACCAGTGTTGGGAAAGTTCCTTTTTAAATGGAACTCGTTCCGTTCCCCGTTCATTTTCTAAAAGATGAACTCGTTCCAAATCCTAGTTCTTTATATTAAGAAGGACCTTGTTCCAGATCCAGTTCCTCCAAAATAAGAACTCGTTCCACTCTTCGTTCCTTTTATGTAACCAAGTTATTTAAAAAATTGTTTTTATTTTTATTATGAATTATTAGATTATATGGCATATTTAAATCAAAAGGCATAAATAAATATGTTTAATAATGTTTTATAACTAGTAACTACACAAAAACAATGTGACATCATTCTGTAATAAAAATGTATAACTGTACTACTGATCTTTTAAATCATAATATAAATAACTACTATAATAATTAAAATGGTACACATTACAGATGTAGTTTTAAATATTATAACATTGTAATAATGCATATTTCTTATTATTAGACTTATAGCTGTTAACTGTAAAAAATTTGTATAGTTAACAACTATTTACAACTATTTATTTACAGTTTTACTATTTAATAGTATTATATTAAAAGTATTTTTAGTATTTAACACACTCATTAATTACAAATTTGAGAATTATTAGTCCTATTAAAACAAAACAAAATTTTCATTTTATATACCAAATTTGTTTTGTTTTAATAGAACTAATTTTTCAAAAAGTGAATCACTCAATTTATGGCGTTTTTGTGTCATCACATTGAAACCTGTCGAAAACAGTCGCTCAACAGGAGCACTAGATGGAAGGGGTGTGTTAAATTCTAAAAATACTTTTAATATTGCAGGGTACAATAGTAACACAGTCAAGTCTTTCGACTGGCATTTTAAGAATAATTCTAACTCTTCAATACGAGAACTTGAAGTTGTATTTTTCTCTACTGGTAAACATATATTAAATATTTACTGTATACCTACATGTGATAATAACTCTATTTATAGTCAATTGATTCATTTAAACAGCCTACGATCTCGGCTGGGTATATAGGGGACTTCCACTGTCAAAAGTCAACTAAAAATACCTTAATATTTTAATGTCTAGATACGAAGAAAACTACACTAAAACATGTTTATAAAAATTTTTAGGAACTGTAATTTCCGTTCACGTTCCTTAAAAAATGGAATTTGTTCATTTTCCTCGTTCCTTTATTTTAAAAGGAAGCAGTTCCTAGCATCGTTCCTTCAAAAAGAACTCGTTCCAGGAATCCGTTCCTTTTGGAACTAGTTCCTTCTCAACACTGCCAACAGGTTCAACTTGCTACATTCTCATGATACAGAAAAATCTATCGAAACGAATGATACATCAAATATAAATTCTAATAATACTGATATTCAAATAAATCATACCCCGCCACCTCCTCCAATATTCGTTCGTAATGTTGCTGATTTTATTGAATTGCGAAATCAATTAATAAAACTGATCGATTCTCAAAACTTTAGCTTTAAATAATCTGCTATAATAACCTAAAAATCAAAACTACTAACTCTGACTCGTAAAGAAAAGTCATCAATATTTTTTGTGGATCTTGAACCCGCCCAAATCAACAGTGAATTATTCAAATTAACTTCGTTGCTCCATACCAAAATAAAGATAGAAGAGCCTCACAAACGTCGTGAAATTATTCAATGTTCAAATTGTCGTCAAGAATACGGTCATTCAAAAGGATATTGTGCTCATCCTCCTAGATGTGTTCGTTGCGCAGACTTCCATCCCACTTCACAGTGTACTAAATCAAAAGATACAAAAACACAGCAAACTACCGTGGTTGCTCAGTACACAAAAACTTACAACGGTCAAATCTCAAACCTAACAAAACCCTTAAAAATATTAACACTATTGTAAAAAATCAGGAGTTGAGATCCTATGATGGGACTCACTCTACCCGTCCTAACATCTCAGACAATAAAATTTTTCCTAATCTTACTCAAAATACCCAAATCCATAGTTTTTCAAGTAAAGTCGATTCTCAAATAAACTCACCAGAAAATTCATCTAACAACCAATTATCCTCTTTTTTAATAGAGTTCAAGCAACTCATTTACCCCTTAATTCAATTACTCATTACTGTAATTAACAAATTAATTCCAAATAATGACAAATAATCAAACTAATAATAAGTCTCTTAATATCATTCTATGGAATGCTAATGGTCTTAAACAAAAAGAATCTAAATATTTAAACTTTCTTATAGATAATAAAATTGATACAGCTCTAGTCACTGAAACACACTACACAGATAACTTCAAACATTTTTTTCCTGGTTACAATATTTACAAAACAAACCACCCAGATGGTACGGCACATGCGGGTTCTGCAATTCTCATCTCATCCTTAATACAACACCACCTTCTACCAAGTGTACTATTACAGACTGTCCAAGCAACAAATATCTCAATTTCAATAAATCATAATCCTATAATTATTTCAGCAATATACTGTCCTCCTCGACCAAACATATCTCAGCCCCACTTAGAGCAGCTTATTTCCTCATTAGGACGCAAGTTTATCGCTGGGGGAGATTTTAATTCCATGCACCCATTATGGGGTAGTCGCGTTGAAAACCCTAGAGGGAGGCTATTTTACTATTCTATTCTATCTTACGGTTTTTCAACTATTTCACCTCCTGGTCCTACTTACTGACCAACTCATAGGAATGGACTACCTGACTTACTTGATTTTTTTATATCATCAATCCCGGGTCATATAAATCACTCTATTCATAATATATGTGACCTATCACCCGTTTTGTTAAAGATTGAAGAATTTCCAACCCAATCTCCTCCTCGGCCCTCCCTTTTCAAAGGACCTGTAAATTGGAATCAATTTTCCTCAACCTTAGAAAATAGTAAAAAACTTAAAAATCCCTCTAAAGTCTTGCAACGAAATTGACTCCGCAGCCCAACAATTAGTCAGCTCAATTCAATCAGCTGTACATGAATGTTCTTATGATTCCACTCAAAATTCCAATTCCAATTCAAAATTAAAATCTTTTCTTTTACCTTCTAATATAAAAATACTAATTGCTGAAAAACGTAGGGCCTGCGCCTGTTGGCAAAGAACTAGACTTCCCTCAGACAAGTCTACTTTCAATAATCTATCTAACTCCTTAAAAAAAATATAAAAACAACCTCTTTGACATGAAATTCAAATCCCTCAACTCTCAGGACGGTTCATTATGGAAAACCACTAAAAATATGCTTAAACTGAAAGATTTTTCCTGTCCTATTAAAAAAATAGATGGATCGCTTGCCTTATCTAATCTTTTTGGAGAACACCTTTCGAATATTTTCACACCTCACCTTGATATTATTCCTAGCAATTCTCAATTAATCAAAATAAATAATTTTTTAGATTCTCCACTACCTATGTCTCTCCCTACTAAACATGTCTCTCCAAATGAAATTGTAAATGTGATTCAAAAATTAAAGTCCAATAAATCACCTGGGCATGACTTGATAACAAATAAGATTTTAAAACATCTCCCTAAAAAAACAATTATTTTAATAACTTTCATATTTAACTCCATGTTAAGACTTTCGTATTTCCCTACCATTTGGGAACAGTCCATTATTATTCTTATTCTCAAATCAGGCAAACCCCCCAATATAACAACCTCATATAGACCAATTAGTCTGCTTCCAGTGCTTGGTAAGCTATTTGAGNGAAACAGTCCATTATTATTCTTATTCTCAAACCGGGCAAACCCCCCAATATAGCAACCTCATATAGACCAATTAGTCTGCTTCCAGTGCTTGGTAAGCTATTTGAGAAAATCATTTTGAAAAGATTAAGACCAATCTTAGAATCTCATAAAGTAATACCCAACGCTCAATTCGGGTTCCGTTCAAATCATTCCACTATACAACAAATACACAGGCTAGTCGATATAATATCATCATCCTTTGAAAATAAAGAATATTGTCCGGGAGTCTTTCTCGATGTGGCTCAGGCCTTTGATAGGGTTTGGCATCCTGGCCTACTCTATAAAATTAAATCATTCCTCCCTGCTCCCCTATACCTTCTTATTCGCTCGTACCTAGAAAACAGAACCTTTAAAGTTCGTTATGGTAATTCTTATTCCTCTCTTTTTCCCATCCTAGCAGGAGTTCCACAAGGTAGTGACCTTTCCCCCGATTTATACAATATTTTCACTTCAGACATCCCCCAAACTCAAAACACCTCCTTGGCTACCTACGCTGATGACACAGTCATT